TCCATTCTAGTTGGTTATCTGTAACCCACAGAGTGTCCAGTGCTGTTGTCGCTGCTTCTCTAAGCACACAAATTGGGCTTGGCTTTATAGCCGAGCCCACCCTCACTCGTCACTGTGCTGCCGGTGGAAAGTTGAAATTGGCCTGGGCAAGAAACATGTCCACAGCCCTCCCACGGTCGTCGCTGTAGCATGGGAGGGAGAGATGGAAGCCTCTTAAAGTCTCCGCTGGCGTTGGGAGCCAGCCCTTTGCTGCCCAGGTGGTGGTGGGATGGCAAGGAGGACAGGCTCCCAAAGCCTCCGCCAGCGTTGGGAGCAGGCCCTTCACCACCCAGGTGGTGGTGGGATGGCAAAGAGGACGGCTCTTTAAACCTCCGCTGGCGTTTGGAGCTGGCCCTTTACTGCCCAGGTGGTGGAGTGGGAGAAAAGAGGCTGCTGCAGACTTGGGTCCTCCTAGCTGGCAAGCTGGTGTTCCTGAGGGGTGTGGGATTGGCTTATAATGCCAGCCCTTCCTGGCCACACCCCCTCTTGCTGCTGCCCTGTTCCAGGAGTTCCTCAGGTCCTTCTGCAGCCTTCTGGCCCCAATGGAGTGGGAGAAAAGAGGCTGCTGAAGGCTTGGGTCCTCCTGGCTGGCAAGCTGGTGTTCCTGAGGAGTGTGGGAGTGGCTTTCTCAAGCATGATCTGGCAATGCTTGCTGCCTCCTCCAAGCCCCAGCCCCCCAGAGCTCGGTTTGAAATGGGGTATTCCCCCTTTTTCTGGCTCTCTGGGGAACTGGGGTTAGTATAGCTAACCTCAGTCCAAATACCTCAACCTCGTGGTCAGAAGTCTTAAAAAGTTTTACAATGATTTCCCAAGTTTTTTTTTTTAGAATAAGAAACAAAAAGTAAAAGATAGGGTAGCAGCTTAAAGTTTATTCTATTGTTCAGTGAATGTCGCTGAACTAATGGTAGTTGGGTGGATCAAGTACCCTTCACCCTTTCTCAACCACCACCTATACCGCTGATCCAAAGGTTGAACAAGTGATTTTTTTAAAAAAAATCTTTGCTGGTACCTCGACCACTTGGTTTTTGGGCTTGCCCTACACCTCCACTGCCTCTGTTGTTGTTGTCGTTGCTGCTGCTGCTGTTATTCTGGGAGGTGGCCAGGTGGGATGGCAGCTTTTATTTCCTCTTCTGCCTCCTCAACTTGTCAGGCAGCTTCCGCTGCCTCTGTTGTTGTTGCTGCTGCTGGTGCTGGGAGGTGGCCAGGTGGGCGGGCGGCTTTTATTTCCTCCTCCGCCTCCTCAGCTTGTCAGGCTGCCTCCTCTGCCTCTGTTGTTGTTGATGTTGTTGTTGTTGTTATTGCTGCTGCTGCTGTCCGCTGTTTTTTCTTTTTTAAGTCATTGCTATTTGAAGAATCTACTAATTCTTACTAATTCAGCTTTTAGAGTTGTTTTGGCTAAGAAACTATTCCTCAATGTTTTGTGCTGCATGAGAACCTTACAATTGGTGAACAATTGGTGCCCTTCAGTGGAAGGTGACCTAGCAGAACACCATATGCTATCCAGACTTCAGAAGCAGGTCATAAAATTCCAACTGAAGAAACATCATATATTTTATGATACTGGCTATATACACAGGAAAAGGATGCCTTTAGATTAGATAGTACTTGAAAAATTAACAACTCATGCCCATGTTTCTGGATAATACAGAACTCATGAAAAGTTTTTCACAGTGTGCCATTAGATAGGAAATTAGCTAAGGGTGGAAAAGACTTTTGCTGGCGCATTAAGAGTACATACTCCAGATGGTGGAAAAGAAAGAAAATCCTGCAGAAATCTTTTCTATAAGTCCAGAAATGTTTACCGGAGTGTTTTTGTTTGTTTGTTTTCAAGATGATTCAACACTTGTAATCTATATACTAAAGAAAGAAAGGACGATGATTCTCCTTTCTTCGATTCATAAAGATGCAGCTACAGAAAACAAATCTAAGTTTGAAGCCAGTCTTTATGAAACTACAATTAAGAGCAGTGTAAACATGTGTGACTAGATGGTCTTCACAGTCCCTTCCAAAAGCATGACCAACAATGGTTTCCCACCAATAAAATATAGTGGACTTTGTTGCCAGCTTGCATGCCTATATTGTTTGGCAACTGGCCAACCCACTATGGAGTGAACATCTTAAAAGTCCTGGGTCTAGAGATGATAAAATCTTGGCTGGAATCTTTGACACAGCCAGTTTGCCTGGAGATCTGAAAAAAAAGGCAGCTGTACCATGAAAACCCACTGGGTGGCCTTGGGCCACTCTCAGTCCTGAAAAAAACCTGTGATAGGTTTGCCTTAGGGTCACCATAACTTTGAAATGACTTGAAGACAAACAAGAACAACAAAAGTCTCTGCTGCTGACACTAAAAAAAGAGTCCAGGTGTCATTTCTGTGGTGGAAAGAATGACAGAAAATTGCAGCAATTATATCCTTCCATGTAACCATTTTGTTTGCCTAGCTCAAGGGTAGGAATCATGCAACTACCAGATGTTGGATTTCAACTCCTATCAGTGCTGGCTCCAGCATAGCCAATGGTCAGGAATGTAGGGAGGTTCAGTTCAACCTGCAGAATTCCACATCATATTTACCCCCTTGTTGTTCTGAAATGTGGCAATTGTACATGGACTGCTCAATAAAGCTAAGAAAGTTAACATTTTTGGACTACAACTCCCAGAAGACCTGATGATCTCTCTCTAGATTTTACTGAAAAAAGAAAGGTGTACATGGGTCAAGCTTTATACTATCCTCCAATATTTTACTTTTCTGGCTTTCTTGAGGTACATCTGATCTAAATTCTCCATTTTTATTTATGACTGAGCATGTTATATATTGAAAAAATCTTTTAAGTACTCCAATATCTTCATCAACCACTATTAAGTTATGTAAATCATCTGTAGTCTTTATTTTTGTTTTCCTAAAATTCAACTGAAATCCTGCTTTTGCGCTTTCTTCCTTAATTTTTATCAGTATATATATCTCTAGTATAATGCGTTATAAATTGCATATCTTACTATCATCCAGTTTAAACTTATAAAGCATCTGTGCTATTTTTTGCTTTCTTAACATCAAGCTATAGCCCTATTTTTGCACTGCATTCCTCAACTTTACCATTGTTTCATGCTTTTGCTATTTTCCGGTAATATTTTAAATGGCTGATATTTCTACACCCAGTTTTCACATCTTGTTCTGAGACCAATTGTGCTTTCCATATATTTTGCATATATGAATTAACCAGACAGGATTATAGAATGTAGTTAAAACCACACTTTTCCTTTCTGGATCTACACAGCCAAAGACTGCTATAATCTATAAAGCTCAGGTTGATTTTCTTCTGAAATTCTCTGGTGCATTCCATTATCCAATGTATGTTCACAGTATGATCATCACTGTCTTCCTTTTCTGAATCCAACTTGATGTCACCTGGCATTTCTTACTCCGTTTATGATGAATGACTAATGCAATGGTCCAGTGCTTACTACAATTTCTTGTGTCCCCTTGGGGATTAGAATTATTTTGAGCATTTCAAGTCATTATTTTGTTTTCCATATTTGTTGGCAGATTTTTATTAGAATATGGATGGATTCTGTCCCTGTAGCTTGAAACAAGAGAGCCAGTGTGGTGTAGTGGTTTGAGTATTAGACTATGACTCTGAAGACCAGAGTTCAAATCCCTGTTTGGTCATGGAAATCCACTGTTTAATTAGAACAAGTCACATTCTATCAACCTCAGAGGAAGGCAAAGGTAACCCCCTCTGAAAAAATCTTGCCAAGAAAACCCTATGATAGAATTACCTTAACTTGGAAATCACTTGAAGGTGCACAACAACAAAGCTTGGAGCTGTATGCCTCCTGTTCCTGGTGATTTATTTCTTCCAAATGATTTGAAAGCAGCCTCCATTTCACTTTCTAGAGTTGTGTTCATCATCAGGATATGTTCTTGAAAGAATCCATCATCTTTTATCTCTTCTACATAATTCTCCATGTATTGCTTCCATCTTCTGTATATTTTGTCTTGATCATACACTGTATTTCACTTTTGGTCATACAGCACCCCTTCTCTTCATCTAGAATTCACTTTGATTTCTCAGATCTCATGGAAGAGGTCTTATTTTCTCCATTTTGTTGCCTTCTGCTTCTTAGAACTGATTATTACAATGGTTCTCTTTATTCTTACATAGAAGTTGCTGAAAAGTTGAGTTCAGACTTCTGCTATCACTTTTTACTTTTGCTTCTTACCTGTGCTTAACCATTTGAAGTGCCATCAGTCATTCAATGAATAATAATAATAATAATAATAATAATAATAATCAATGAAACTTTTCTTTCTTTTAGGCTTAGTGTCTTTATGTATTTCTTCCCTAATAATGCCCCTGGTTTTGGTCCAGAGTTCTTCTGATTTCCACTCAGTTACACATAATAGTGCCAATCTGCACTTTACTTGGTTTTTTAAATTCTACAAGGATGTATTTTGGCACTCTAGTAGATTCAGTATATTTCTATAAGTATCTCTAATTTCTGATGTTACCAGTTTTGTCTTTGTCATAATCTACTCCTAGTCTGGTTTTTGCATATACAGTGGCCCCACTGTATTGATGGGCTAGCAATATTTAGATTAGTGCATCTATGGCTCACCATGCCTCATATTATTCAATGCTGGCACATGCATGTGGACATGCTGACACATACCCATTGAATAATAATCAACACTACTTACCCAAACAAATAAACATACATATATTCTTGCATTAAAGTTTGATCTAATTCCCTGTTTCCACTAGACCAAAATTGCTATTTATAACACACTGCATTAAGTGGTCTCTGAAGTGCCCAATTGTTTCTGAGGAGACTATAGTGGGAACCACTGCCAGCTCCTTATTCACAAGAGATCACAATCATTATAATTTCAGAAAAGGCAGATGGGATTTATCCTCCAGATACATAGCATAGACAAGCTTTATCTAATAGTTCAGTGACATTAAATGTCACATTTAAAATAGGTTCATAATTTCCAAAGTTGATGATAAGATGTTCAAACAACATTTACAAGAGTCTAATCTTTAAACAGGCACTAATATGTATGCAAATGAGGAAAGAGATTTCTTTTTCCAAAAAAGATGTGCACTCATTCTTTTAGAAAATATGCTTGTGTCCTTCAGGAAAAAAATTATTTCCTTCCATCAGCATATTTAATTTAGGTATTTTCCACATAAACAATAGGGTGAATCAAGCCATCTTATACTTTACATTTAAATTCAGCAGCTGAATACTATAAATGCTAATTAAATACTCTATTTAATGATAAAAATGAAGAGCTAGGTTAATTTCAGTTTGCAAAATCCTCTAATTATAATGTTTTCCTTTGGAAAATAGAAATTGTACTCCACACCTTTTAAGAAAAATGAATTATTTAATCACTATTCATTCACCTTTAAAAACATTTAAATTCTCTTTTGAATAAGAAATGGTTTTAATGGTGCTATAATTGGTTTTCTTGACAAAAAGATTTTTAATATTCATTTAAATATCACCACAGTTAAATTTGCTCTGTAGACGCATATTACAATAAAGAAATAACAATGAAATTAGTTCATTCAAAAATCCTAGTTATTTTAAAACCTGCAAGTACAAGTTGTTTTCATCTATTACAGAAAATTGAAGCATTTATTTCTCCTTAGGTGGGTATGCCCAATTTTTAAATTACAAGATACTATCAAAATATGCTCCTTGGGGTAAAAGATATAATTACGGTAAGTTGTAATTCAACAACATTTTGGAGCAAGTAGTTTTCCCTGACTTGTGCTTGGATTTATTACTAAACCAATGCTCAGTGCTATTGTGAATAAGCTTGCATTCCCCTCTTTCTTCAGTGTGGCTTCAAGGAAGGGACTGCAGAATCCTGTGTCTTTGTCTTATAAAGATATGCCAATAGATTTTTAAAGCATCCATTACCCCATAGTCTACCCTGATGGTAACTTCTTGTCCTGAGTACAGATTACACATCAGGGCAATCAAATGTTATGGCCCACCCATTTCTTAAAGAGCCAACCATAGTTTTTCATGATCTGCACAGTCAAAGGCTTTGCAATGCAATGGTCCTGTGGTTACCGCAGTCCTTGGTATCCTCTTTCTTTGGAATCAGATTTTTTCCGATCTGTGGGAAATTCTTTTGTTTTCCATATTTGTTGACAGATTTTAGTTAGAATTAGTTCTGTCTCTGTAGTTTGAAGTAGCTGTATTAGTGTGTCTACTCTTCCTGGTGATTTATTACCACAAGTGCTATGACAAAAAAACTGGAGCTACATCTTCAAATGGTTCTTCCTTGAATAAATCTGTCACCCTCTCATCTCTTTTATATAGTTCTTCAGTGTGTTGTTTCCATTGGCTTTTTATTTCTACTTGGTCATTAAATGTATTTTTCACCTGGTCATATAGCATCCCTGGTCTTGGTTTAAATTTCTCTTTGATTTCTTGGATCTTATGGAAAAAAAGTCTTTTGTTCTTCCTTTTTTGTTGTCATGTTTTATTTCTTTGCACTTATTGTTATAGTTCTCTTTGTCCTTGCACACAGGTTGCAGAACATTTGCATTCAGAGCTTTCAGCCAATTTCTGTCACGTTTTACTTTTTCTTCTCATCTATCCTTAACTTATTTTGAACAAAAAGCCAAACTGGCATAATGTATACTTAATTGCTCAAATTTTGCTCTTTTACAAGCCCAACTGAGGGCCTTTGCAGACTGCCAAAAATAGTGCAAATTGAGTCCACTTTATCTGCCCTGACTCAGTGCTAGGGAATCATGGGAACTGTAGTTTATTGTGGCACCAGAGCTCTCTGACAGAGAAGGCTCAATGTCTCAGAAAAAATACAATTCCCATGATTCCCTAGCTCTGAGCCAGGGCAATTAAAGTGGACTCAATTTGCACTATTTCTAGCAGTCTGCAAAGGCCCCAAGTGTCCAACTCTATGGAATTCCTTATTATTCCCTCCCTACATAAATATACCTTGAAAGAAGAAAACGAGCACACTAGGAGACCATTGGACTCGAACACCTTCCTGTGATATACTAGTTTTAAGTGTAAGTAGGATTTTATGGACATGGTGTCCATTTAAAAATTCTCTATGTATGATCAATTTTTTAATCTACTGCTATGGTGCCAATTTGTCAGCTTATTGTGCTGTATATATAGACCAGCTGAAAGCATTTATACAAGAACTGTCTCATTCCAAAGCACTGGATAACTGCATCTTTTTAATAGTTTGTTTATTAAAATTAATATTTTTAGACCACCATGTTACTGAAATGTGCTAGAGATGCTCTAGGCCTCTAGGTTTGTTTTTTTTGTTGGTTTTTTTTTGCCTACATTCAAAAAAGAACCAAGCTGATTTGTATCTCTCAAACTAAAATGTGACTTGAAACACAACCATCCTTCCAAGTGCTCAGTTTTCTAATCTTGCGATGCAACTTTTGACTTCAAAATGCAGCAAAATGCTTGTGCGTAAAACCCCAAACTATACAATGAAATGGACACAAATTTTCAGCAGATCAAAACCACATACAGATCCATTCAAAAATGAGGTAGAACAGATTTATGAGTGAATATTCTTATTAATGTGAAAATCTCACAGACCAACAAAAGTTTGATCCATCCATAGCTATTTATCATTTCTAATCAGTGATTTTTAATATAGTGTTTTTCATTATGCATTTTATAATTGTTCAATATTATATTTTTCATTATTATATACTTACTGTCCAGAGATCTCATTATTGGTAAGTCTTACAGCACATAAATAAATAAATACTGATTTATGAGAATAAATAGAAATTGAGGCTTTCTTGGAGGCATGATAGATAAATAGATGCTGTATATACTCATGTATACATCTATAAATTTTAGTCAAAAATTGAGCCAAAAAAACTGTGTCAACTTATCCACTAAATTATTTTTTTCTTTCAAGCCCACATCCTTTAACCAGCATGGTAGACCAAGGCATTTTCTATAAATCTGTCTATTTCATAGACATAAACAAATCAAAAGTTAGTAAAATATCCACCCATTTGATCTGAACATCCCTCACCTGTTCCCCTTCTTTCCTCTGTCCCGAGAAGAAGAGACATCATGGAAAAAGCAGGGTAAGCCCTTGGACTTTATTTTGTTACTCCCTCTAAACAAAGAGAGACAAAAAGTATATAAAACTTATAAACATATGTTCTGTGTCATATCCTAAATTAAGTAATGGAGAAAGTTCTATCCATGTGGGTTAACTTGTATAGATGTCCTAATCTTCACTAACTCCTTTCCATTAATAATTTTCATTTATAGCCACTCATACTTGGCAGTCAAAATAAAACAAGGCCTACATTTCTCTGTCACTACAATGCTGTTTCCTTGTGATCTTGCTCCATCCTAAATTCCACCCACAATGAGATCGGAAACAGGTGGAATGTTCCTTTCCCAAATGAACACACTGGGGAGATGGAGTGAGGTCAGAATATGCACTCATAGTGCGTCATGCAAAGAAACTGACATGCATGCCATTGAGCAGATATTTGAGTGGACCTATTGGATCTAGTAAAAGCCAATTCACACTAATACAGGAAACCTTTCCTCAAATTTAGCTAGAGGAACATTTAATAATGGTGTTGAACGCAAATGACAGATTGCTAAATGTGTACTGACTTT